AATCGATTAAAATCAATCAGTATATCAATCCAAAGTCATTACAATCAAGGTTCCTAACACATGGAACTAGGGTTCTTCATACCCAAGTGAGAGAAGGTTCTACTCCATAGAGAGAGAGAGGAAAACAGAAATCAGAGCAGTCATACTCATAAAGATGGGGATAATCTGCTCTAGGATGTCGATCTTCACTCCTGGGGATGCAATCTGGGCTTCAATGGTGAGAAATCCACTCCAAATAGCTCCTAGGGTTTGTTCTTCGCACTTTCTCTCTCTAAAACTCTGCTTTTGCTCCAAAAAGTCAACTCCCTTTCCTTTGGCTCGAATCTTCCTAAAAAACCCAATTCTGAGCGAAATATAGTCGTAATTCTTCCCTGTCCGTATTTTTCCCAAAATGCGCGTTTTGGTTAAGTCTCAGCGCATCCAAGGCTCCTCTCGACACTAAAACTACGGGCATGGGAGGGAAAAATAGTATACGGTCGTATTTTTCCTGCCCGTATTTCTTCATCCGCTCCTGTTTAATGTTTCGTTTCTCCCTCAACCGGACTCCGAATTAGTCGTCGTTTGATCCCAGACGCTCGTAGTCTAGTCCTCTTTCTTTTCATGACAAGATTCCATGATTATTTGTCTATAATATGAGGTATAAATTCATTCTTCCTCAGGTAATGCTCGAGTTTCTTCTCGCGGGTGAGGCTGAAGCTGAGTTGCTAAGATCTCAAACTAGGGCCTTCTCGGATCCTACAATAGAGCACTTTTAGGCTGTTACGCTTGCAAAGGATCATTATGATCATATTTCTTCAACTTATGAAAGTTTTTGTTGGCAGAAATCCAGGGTGTCTTGGTTGACAGTTGGGGATAAAAGTTTGAACTTCTTTCATCAGGCTTTGAAGATCCGTAACTCAAAAAGGGTTATCAGGAAGCTGGTTAAGGAATCAGGGGAGGAAATCTTCCAATCTGACCAGATTGTTGAGGAAGTGATTGAGTTTTATAAGAGACTGCTGGGAGAGGCTAACTTGGAGATCAATCCTTGGGAAGAAGAGGTTGCACAACTGGTTCGAAATCACATCCCTTCATCTGAATGTGAGACTCTTATTAAGGATATCACAATAGAGGAGATCCGAAGTGTGGTGTTTAGCATGAATTCCCAGAAAGCTCCCACTCCAGATGGATTTTCTGCTGGATTCTACAAGAAGACATGGTCAATTATTGGAGATGATGTTATCAGAGGGGTCCTCTACTTCTTCCATACAGATACTCTCCCTAGTGGAGTAAACTCTACTGCAGTATCTTTGATTCCCAAAATCTCTAATGCTGATACTTTGAAGACTTTAGGCCAATTTCGTGTGTGAATCTGCTATACAAAATAGTGTCTAAGATTCTTGCTAGGAGAATTAGAGAAGTTATGCCCTTGATCAATAGTAATACTCAGTCGGCGTTTGTCAAAGGGAAAAGCATAATGGACAATATTTTGCTACCTCAGGAATTGGTTAGTGGGTATAATAAGAGTGGTTTGTCTTCTCACTGTGCAATAAAGATAGATATCATGAATGCATTCGATTCAGTTAATTGGAAATACCTTTTTCTTATGATGCATGCCATGGGGTTCCCTGAGAGGTTTATGAAGTGGATCAAGGTTTGTATTCAGACTGCCCATTATAGTATAAATGTCAATGACAGTCTCTGTGGCTTCTTTAGGGCTAGGAAAGGAGTCTGTCAAGGTGATCCATTATCACAATATCTTTTTACCATTGTCATGGAAGGTCTATCGACCATGCTGATGTCTGCAAGTCAATCAGGATTGATTCCTTTCCATCCTCAGTGTCGGAGGATTGCATTAAATCACATGTGCTTTGCAGATGATATACTTGTATTTACTACTGGATCGGCTCAAGCGATCCTTCAGGTCAAAGAAGTTCTACAGCAGTTTTACCAGTTGTCCGGGCTTAAAAGCAACTCTGCAAAATGTGAAGTCTATTTTGGTGGAGAGTCCATTAAATACAAAAGCAATGCCTTGATTCTCTCTGGCTTTAGGGAAGGTGAGTTACCAGTAAGATATTTGGGACTGCCTTTGATGACTGGCAAATTATCATCAAAGGAGGTAGAAATTTTGGTCGATAAGATTACCAATCGAATTAAGTCATGGAGAGCCAAGAAGTTGACCTATGCCGGGAGACTGCAGCTACTTAACTCTGTGTTGCTAGGAGCTTTCCAATACTGGACGCATCTCTTTGTTCTCCCCAAGAAGGTACTTAAGCGGATTCAGCAGGTTTGTTCCCAGTTTCTATGGCATGGTACTGATCCTGGCAGAGCTAAAGTGGCATGGGACTATGTTGCTTTGCCCAAACAGGTGGGTGGTCTAGGGGTTAAGGATCTGTTGGCTTGGAATCAAGCCTGCACGATCCGCATGCTTTGGTTGTTCCTGATAAAGACTGGGACACTGTGAGTGACATGGATGTATGAGTACATGTGTGGCCAGAGAGATCTATGGTCTTTGAAGGTGCAATATAGTAGTTCGTGGACATGGAGGAGGCTGCTTAAATTGCGGTCTATCATTTTACCATGGATGCATCAGTAAAATGATACCATATTCTAGGATTCAAAGGAGATGCTGGTTTATTCGGTTCGTAGAATGTGGGAAACGTTGAGAAGGAAGGCTCCAGTCGTCTCTTGGCACAAACTTGTGTGGAGCAACAGCTGTCCTCCACAGTATAGTTTGATTGCTTGGTTATTAATGAAGAATGCTATTGTTACACGGGACAAACTTTTGCAATGGGGTAAGGTCAGGGATGCTTCCTGCCCTCTCCGTGGTGTGGATGTTGAGACTAGAGATCACATATTCCTCCGCTGTTCCTACTCCCTCATACTTGCCTCACTCCTGCATTTTCGTTTTTTGAGACATCAAAGACTGGGATGCAATGGTGCAGGCTCTTAGTCTTGCAGTACCCAGGAACTCGCAAACAGGGCAATGGCATGCTCTAGTATGGTGCCTAACAGTTTCTTTTCTTTGGAAGAAAAGGTGAAAGGTGATTCATGGCTCTCCCTACAGAGACCCTGCGACGGTTGCTGAACTGCTAAAGGCGGACCGGATGTTTATAGTGTGTGGGAATAGAGGAGTTCGTGATGCACTTACAAAGCTTGGATACTTATAGGTTTTATGTTTGGTTTCTATAAGTAGTCTCATATATAGGAGAGTGGGTGCTTGTGAGTTTATCTCATGGGATTCTTTGTGATTCCACTTCGTTGTATGGGTTTCTTATTTGGCAATAAAAGCAACTGATTCAACCGGGGGGGGGGGGGGGAGGGAGTGAAAATACACAAAATTTTCCTTATTTTTCTTTGCATAAATCGAAAACATCAAACTTTCCCACCATTTTCTCTTTCTATAAATAAAAAAACACCAAAACTTGAAACACCAATTTTCTCTTCTTTTTACCTCAAAAAGTTGAAAATATCAAAATTTCCCACTTCTTTCTCTTCCGATAAACCAAAGCACCAAAATTTCTCCTTCTTTCCCAAAACTCGAACCACCAAATATTCCTCTTTTTTCCTCCAAAAAATTGAAAACATCAATATTTTCCACTTCTTTCTTTTCCTATAAACCAAAACACCAAAACTCCCCTTTCTTTCTTTTCCCAAAAATTTAAGCACCAAATTTTCCTCTTCTTTTTTCCCCAAAAAGTTGAAACCATCAAAATTTCCCACTTCTTTCTCTTCCTATAAACCAAAGTATCAAAACTCCTTATTTCTTTCTTTTAATAAAAATATATAATTTCAACTCAATATCATTTTTTGAACTTTCCTTTATAAAATGAAAAAATAATTTTACTTAGTCTTACAACAAACAAACTCCATTTTGAAATTTTATATAATATATAATATAGTAATTGTTCGGGTCAATCTGGCGGGTTATGGGTTAGTCGGGTTCGGGCCAATCGGGTTCAGGTCAATCGAGTTACGGGTTTAATCGGGTTGTGGGTTAATCAGGTTGTGGGTTATTCGGGTTATGAGTTAATCGAGTCACGGGTCAATCGGGTTGCGGGTCATTGACTTTTAATCAATTCGAATTGTGGTTGGGTTGCGGGTCGGGTTAGTCGGGTCGGGTTCTGTTTTGACACCTATAGTTGTGTGGGAGATACACGAAGAAGAAGTATCAACTCGGAGGGTAAGTTTGACAATTCTCCTTCAGTTTTGCTGCAATCAGTCCAGTCCAATCATTGTTAACGAAAATGGGATGGAAATACTAACAGAATGGCAACTTTGATATCAATGCAATAATAAATGGGCAACTTTGATGTAAATTATAATAAAATGGTAAGTTTGAGAAAAAAACTATAACAGATCGATAGGCAATTTATGCTATTAATCCTTATTTATTTTAACTGTTTCACTTCCATGTTCTGTTACTTTGACCCCCAACATATTTATCTCTCGGCTGGTATTAAAAGGGTGGTTAATAGGTTTGGAATTAAGAAACCATGACCACTGCCGGCTGCCACACATGCATGTATCTTGTCTTGATCAGCTAGATGATCATCTGGTCTTGGTGTCAGAAGAAACATTATCACCAAGGACAAGGACAGTAGCAGTTCTTTCTTGAGTTCAGTCCAGCTAGCTAGCTAGCTAAATATCACCATATCTCTTCCAATCCTACTGACAGGTAACGAACACAAAGGACGCAAAAAAATCAAAAGAATATATGGTTTCGTTCATTCAAATGAAAAAGAAAAGAACAAAGGCCAAGAATCAAAAAGTAGTCCAGTACTTTTGGGTTCTGATTCTGGCTTCCCTTTCAACTCAGCCATGAGCAGTGGTAATTGTGTGAGTGAAACGAGTTGAGTGCATCGAGTTGTATTGCTTGTCCTTCTCCATCTTGTGGCTCTCAATCGAACGAGTCATTGCATATTCTCAAGTAGTCTCTCTTAACTCCCATAGACCTCTAAGACCCTTATCGAGGATATATTCCCACTACCCACATTGCCCAACTGGCTCTTCTTCTTCTTGCCCACCCAAAACCCACAACCCTTTCCCCTTCCTCTTCCTCTTCCTCTTGTATATATATAAGCACAACCCACCAAGCTTCACTTGAATCCAACCCACAAGCCAACCCAATTTTACTTGCCCAAAAATGGCGTCAAACTCAATGAGTGCTTCCAGGAACTTCAGCTCAAGCTCGTGGACGCCCAAGCAGAACAAGTTGTTCGAGAAGGCACTGGCCCTCTACGACAAGGACACCCCTGACCGCTGGCAGAATGTGGGTAGGGCTGTTGGCAAATCCGCTGAGGAAGTCAAGTCCCACTACGAGCTCCTCGTCAGCGATCTCAGGGCTATCGAGTCCGGTCGGATTCCATTCCCCAATTATAAGCCAAGTGGCAACGCCAACTGATCATTTGAGCCCCCCCTCTCCTCTCCATAAGGTACCAACATTTCGCTTTTGTTAATCGTTACACGTTTGAGTTTACCGTATCTTCTCTTATTTGGTTATTATTTTTGGAAAAATTATCTCATCTATGTAACAACTTCGTCGCATGCCCTCTCTGCGCGCGCTTTAATCGATTTCTCCCATGGCAATTTAATTTAGTCAAAGTCGAGATTCTCCTCCATCACTATCACCATCAATGTTAGCTAAGCTAGGGCCCGGAGAGAGTTGTGGAAAGAAAAGAGATGATGTGGGATCATGTTCCTTTGTCAATTTTGTTATCCTGTCAGTAGTGTTCTCGATGGAGCAGAAATTTCAGATAGATATCTAGCTCGAAACTACTTCAAACTACAGCGTATTGGATAAAATGTCAAGTATCAATTTTTTATTTATTATTAATAATGGTGTTGTATATTACGAAAAAAATAAATAATAATGGTGGTCCTATATATAATGGAAAGGGTATAAGCGAGCGAGAGAGATATGTGGCCATTTCTTTTGGAAGATTCTGTCATGGAGATCAAGCTTCTAGTGATAACTTTTCAGTTACGATATCTGTCTTTTTCGTTTAGATTAAGTGTTCCAAGCTGCCCGGAATGAATTTGACTAATTGGTTTAGGGTTTCTTTCTTTGTGATGCAGCACTCAGGTAGCAGAAAGGGAAGAACAGTACTCCAACTTTTCTCCTCCACCAGAGCAGAGCAGGTCCAATGCCAAGTATTGCAAATGATTTCTATTTAATTAAATTAAGAGTGGATTAGCAGATATTTGTGAAGGTTGAGCTCAGATTTTAATGCAAAGAAGTTGTCGGGAAAAGACACTAATCTTCTCCTCCTTTTTGTTCGGTTTTTACAAGAATCAAAATTGTAATTTTCCTTATTACGTGTTCTCTTTCTTACTTCATGCGTGTAATATGTTTGTATTATTCCCTTCTTCTTATGGATCCGGATTTCCTAATAGCTTATCTATATTAGGAATGACAATGGGTCGATTTTATCTAAATTCAAATTTAACTTGGTTGTTGGTACTCATTAAAAAATTCTGTAAAAGACCTATTGGGTTTTACAAATGAAAATCCAACCTAACCCAACGGTTACTCACGGGTGCATGGATATCTATGGTTCACGGACAAAACTATACATTGTTTATCCGAACCCCTACATCGTAATGTTATTAAAAAAATTTCTCCAAATATATATTAGAAAGACTACTAACATTCATAAACTATTCAGAAAGGTTTATATTATCATAAATACTAATTACATGAATAAATTATTCATATTGTTCCAGTTATATACAAAATGACGTGGTTTTGCTTTATGAGTGCGGGTTTGGTTGTAAGCAGGTTGGATTTTGGCAAAATTAAACCCAACCTGCCAATTAAAAAATGAGTAAAATCGGCACCCGACCCATAAACGCGTCAGCATTGAGTTTTACCCGCTATGAGAAACTGGTAGGGTTGGATATCCATGAGTTCGGATTCAGTTGTCATTCCTAACCTATAAATAACCATCAATAACCCCTCAATCATTTATCGAAGATAACTAACATTCATAAATTATATTAAGGATATACTAAATGATAATATGAATATAGCATAGTATAGAATGGTACTATACATGATAGAAGGGATATACTAATAGACATTTACCATATTTCACCATTATCTACCATCAGTTACCACCTCATATACCAGGGTGTTATAAGATGGTATATATTTGGTCCAAAAAAATTTCTCACCATAAATTTATAGGTAACGATGAACTTGTTCCTATTATGCAAAAAAATTCAAAATTTGAGTGAAATGAAGTTGGTACACAAAAGCATCAAGGTGGTAACAAGGGGTAATGGGTGTTTTTATTTTCTCGCAATATATTGAAACTGGGTATTATTTTGTAAATTAAAATGAAATCGTTCTATTTATGCTGAAAAAATTAAATAAAAATTTAAAACAAAGAAATATAGCCGATTGAAAAAAGTAGGAAAAATAAATTTAATTTCAATATTTAAATCCAATCCCTTTTTATCAACAGGTCAAATATGATTATGCACTCTATCCTGGACCTCATCTTATATATCTAGATAATGAGAATTTCCAACGAAAATAAACGTGCTTTATTTATGCAAATATTTCCCTTTTTGTTTTTGCTAAGGTTAATATAGTATTAATAATAAAGAAAATTACAAAGAAAAAAGAAACCAAGACAAAAACCAAGTTTGGTTCACAACGAGCAACAGATCCTGCTGCAAGACGAAAAGAAGAAGAAGAAGAAGAAACGACAAAGCTCCCCAAAAACATTTATTAATACAAAAAATCAAATTACATGGGACAAAATCACTGAAACATAGGACCTGGGTTGCTACAACTAAGGACCACCACGATTACAACATGCTCACAATCCATCATGAAGAAGATGAGGAGAAAGCCACGCCAAAGGCAGTGTCGAAGTGGGGAGTGTTGGCCGTCAATGAGACCGTCCAAACGATCAATAGTGGGTTAAACGAGGTCTTTGCACCTCCTAGGATATCTTTATCACCAGGTTTCGCGGCATTGGACCCAAGCCCGGTTAATTTTGAGTACAATAGGGGACTAGGTTGTAGGTGGTGACGTACGACGAACATGCCTAAATGATGGGATTAGAGCTGAGATGGGCTAGGGTTATGGGGCAATGGGTCAATGTCAAGCCCGAAAAGAGCTGGAGGATTTGGTTTGGACCTTAGGATACTAGAAACGCAGAAAATTGGGTCTAGTAACAGGTTCAGTAGATTTGGGCACGTCAAGGCAGTGATGTCAGATGGAGTAGAAGGAGACGGGCTGAGTGGGCTATTTGGCACATGTGGGAACGCAGGTGAGAGTTGGGTCGGGCCTAGTGCGGTGAGAAGTAGTAGGCCCCCAACAGGTAGGCCGAGGAGGTGGACCGAGCCGCATGGGCTAGGCGGTGTTGGAAATTTTTGGGACTAGGGTACACGTCGATAGCCCGAGACCGGGTGACTAGGATTACGATAGAGTTCCACCCTCTACAAAACCTTGGGTTACAGGAAATTTATTCGTAGGATAAAACTATTACCACTTTAGAATCTAGGCTTAAAGAAACTAAAGCATACCTAGACCACATATATTTATAGTGCTCAAAACACTATATCGATGCATTGCATTGCTTCATTAGTGATTTTGGTTGTTCACTGCCAATCCAAACGTTATCGGTATCAATATATAACCACCCTTCACGAATGGTTGCATGCCATCAAAAAATTAGATTAAATGAGTCCATGCACATGATAAGGCATCACGTGGATCACATTTAGCCAATGAGTTCAAATTCAAGAGGGTATTGATTTATGAAACTGTTTCTATCAACTAATTATAAAGTGGTTGTCTGGCCACTTAATTAATTAGAGTATAGACGTTTCCAAGTTTCAACTACCAATCCCCAATCCATAATTTCATCATTATCCATAAGATTGTCCTTATTTATAACGTTATCCTTATCCATAAGGTTGTTCTTATCCATGAAAATGAAACACCACTAAATCAAAGGGACGTGTCCCTTCATAGATTTAAAATATTTGATTTGGTCGGTGTAATCCCAAATCGCTTTGCCGGTCCAACCCAAAACCGATTTGACATGGTTAGTCTGAGTCAACCAGATTTCCAACATTCCTCTCCCATTTTAGTGTATTCTAAGAATCCACTAAAATTACAACATTCTTCCAACAAAACTTAAGCATAAATGAAAATGTCGTGACGATTGAATATTCATCTAAGTATATTACACTTGACGAATAACCAAATATTTGGGTGTCGATAACGACTGAACTCATCTACTCAAATGAATATTCGAAGATAATATACACTTAAGTTTTCAAAACTTCTAAACACATTGACACTATTACCCGTCATGTGTTACCTTCTCATAAGTGCACACGAAACCAAAGTCTGAGTTTCATGAAGCGGCTACACTTCATGCTTACGTAGGTTGAATATCTTATTTGTGTACCCGCATAATACACTTTTTCAAATATCCAATTAAGAAGCTTTTAACTTCATCCTCTTCTCTCATGCAGAATAACAAGCACATACCTCAGGACGACAAATTGTGTGCTTCAATTTCTGATAATAAGCTTTCCACATTGAATTCAGCCTCTAACGTTGTATTAGAGGGGAATTGGGTATCTCATGATCATAAATTATATGGAATTTAAACCCATCCCTTTCACAGACTTGACCATCAAGTCACCAGTTAATCATTTCATCAAATGATCAACTAAATTATCTCTAGTCTAGTCATATTTGTACATACACAAAACTATGGGTGATCAATTCATAGATTTTACAGTGCATAACTCCGACATGATTGTATTTTGCATTATACACTTGGTTATATGCCTTAGCCAAAGTAACATTACTACAAATAGATAGTAATAAAGTGAAATTTTTTTAGGCCATGAAAGAATATCATAAACCAAATCTCTCAACCATCACACAATTTTGACTTAATAGTGAAACCAATGATACAAGTTTGCTTTTTAGAGGTCCAATATATGACACCTCCTCCATGCAAGAGGATTCATCTCGATGTTGAATTATCACCTTTAATATGAGAAATCCAACTCGCATCAATAAATTCTTCCAAAATGGATGGAAAGCCACTATAAGTCAATACAATGTGCCTTTGAGATATCCTAGTACACGCCTCATTTCATCCTAAATGATGAGCACTAGGATTACTCAAACACCAACTTAATGGTCCTACCATACGCAATATATGGTTTTATGCAAGTCATTGCATACATCAAGCACCTAATTAACATGGAATACTCCAGTTATAAAACTGGTTGGATAGTATTAACCATAAGTTCCATACTTGGATCTATTGGGGTTTTTAACTCACGACAATTTTCACTTTGAAATTTAGCAAGCACCTTCTCGATGCAGAAAATTTTGGAGAAGGGATCTAATTTGTCGTTCCACTTAATCTAATACACAAAATCACATTTGCCTCCCCATGTCTTACATGGAGAATTTAGATAAAAATAACTTTTTAGTAAAGTCCTCTGGTCTTTGAGTAGTCCCAAAGATAAGCATATCATCTATATACAAATATATGATAACTCTATTACCAGAATCGTCAAACATTATATGTACTCTTTTGTCTCCTTAGTTTAAAATAATATAAATCACTAGACAAAATCACACCATCAAACCACTTAGACAAATCAAAATTGTCTAAGACTTCGTAAATATCAAATAGAGAATCGTAAAAATTTAACCATTGAGTATGAAACCTACACAAATGTACTTGTCATTCTCCTATTTCTTCAGTTTACGAAGCATTCTCCTTCTTCCTTATCTTCGAATCATCCCACTTCCAAATTACCTTCCGGATATGGAATACACCATGAGACTAGTACGAAGAAAACACGTCTTCTACTACCATCGATGAAATACTCATCATCGAAAATTCTCAAATTTTCCATAAACCGAAACCGATTGCTTGTAAAGAACGGTTCGAGTTATCGTACCGAAAATTATTCTTTACAACTGTTGGGACTTTTTGGGACGAGGGTACACATACGATAGTCCGAGACCGGGTGACTAGGATTATGATAGAGTCGTGAACAAAGTTCACTTTCCGTAAAGAATATTTCCACTCTCTACAAAGCCTTGGATTACAAGAAATTTCTTCGTAGGATAAAACTATCACCACTTTAGAATGTAGGCTTTACGAAACTAAAGCATATCTAGAAGTTTCATAGGAAGAATGAATTTTGGTGTCCTTTTTCCACCATTAGACCACATATATTTATAGTGCTCGAAACACTATATTGATGCATTGCATCGCTTCATTAGTGATTTTGGCGGTTCACTGCCAATCCAAACGTTACCATTATCAATATATAACCACCATTCACGAAGGGTTGCATGTCATCAAAAAATTAGGCACATGATAAGGCATCACATGGATCACATTTAGCCAATGGGTTCAAATTCAAAAGGGTATTGATTTATGAAACTGTCTCAACCAACTAATTATAAAGTGGTTGTCTGGCCACTTAATTAATTAGAGTATAGACGTTCCCAAGTTTCAACTACCATTCCTCAATCCATAATTTCATCATTATCCATATGATTGTCCTTATTTATAAGGTTATCCTTATCCATAAGGTTGTTCTTATCCATGAAAATGAAACCACCACTAAATTAAAGGGATCTGTCCCTTCATAGATTTAGAATATTTGATTTGGTCGGTCTAATCCCAAACTGCTTGGTCCGTCCAACCCAAAACCGATTTGACTTGGATAGTCTGGTTCAACCAAATTTCCAACAGGCGGTGGGTTGTCCGACTAGGGTATGACTAAGGTAGACCAATCTGGTCACGGATCGAACTAAATCAAAGACAGATCAGGCTTTTCCAATCCAGGCTAGCCCAATTGGAGTTTCAGAAGTTCAATGGAAGCAAGGACCCATCTGGATGGTTCGCGCGTGTGAAATAGTATTTAAAATTTCTGAAGCATAAGGTGCCACTTGCATCTTATCACATGGAAGGCGAGGCGAACTAGTGGTGGTAATGGATAGATTACACATACGTCAAGAATGATTACATGGCCTCGATTTTGCGAAGAGTTATGAGATCGATTTGGGCCATCGAAGGAAGCTTAGAGCCATGAGTCTCTAGCCAAGAATAAGCAAATCGGAACCTTAGGAGATTATCCCTTATTTTTCGAGAAGTTGGGTAAGCGATGCTATGGGTGGACCAAAGAGGCATGGACGAGCTCCTTAATTGATGGAATTAAGCCAGAAATTTCTGACGTGTTCCACATGTTTAGGCCTAAAACAGTATGCAAGGCAATCCGGCTTGCCAAAGTAAAGAATTAGGAGTTGGCCAAGCATGATGGAGTGATGAGGAATCCGCTAAGGAGCCAATGGAGGTGACAGCCGAACCTGCTCCTACGCCACCCTGAGTCGCGATGCCTCGTAACTCAACCGCACAACAAATGTAACCAGAAATTTTCACACGATAAAGAGCACACTGACTATGCTTCCATTATGACAAGCACTTCACGATTGGACATCACTATGCAAATGCCAAAGTTCTCCTTATGATTGACACGTGCGAGGATGACGAGGAAGGTCGATTCATCCACGACTACGAGGATGACCAACCTTGAGGGAAAGGTTGGCTAAAGGGTGGAGGATTGTTACAAAATGAGCTATCATGTTAATTCAGCGATCTATGGGCTCATATATTTTTAGTAGTGATATTAATTAGTCCGCGTTTCATTAGTTATTGGGGATATTAATATTGTTTATTTGTTCTAGTAGGTTTAGATTACCTTTAGTTATTTGTTTATGAATTAATTCTAGTGTCTTTGTTGGAGAAGTTGTCATATATATTGTATGAAAGGAAAAGAAAGATGGCCGCAACAGGGTGAGAAGGAGAAGGAATTTGAGGTTTTCTGTACCTATAAATATATATTTTCACCTTAGTTAATACCGTTGAAGATTGGAACCAAAATATTTAGTTATTGTCTTTCTTTTGCCGTTTTTTCTTTTGATTTATCGTTCAATTTCGTACGAGTGTTCTATACATCATTCCATCAATTATTTAATTTTGTGTCTCATAATAAGTTAACTTCCATATACCATGGAAGGCTCGGGTAACCATTTAGAGAACTTAAGAGAATGTATCATTCTTATGATTACTTCCTTCATACCTGCAACAACGTCCTAGTTCACCTAAATACCTAATGAGATCCAAAGCCTTTAATATACCTTGTGTTCAGCTTGGGTTGGCAGTAAAAGCTCTAACCTGAATTGATCAATGCAAACAAAACCTGCCTTGACCGGTTCGGATCAGGGGTCTGGAAAAACCCAAAATTATAGTTATCAGGTACAAACAGGGTATGAATATCCTATTATCCGCCTTGAACCCGCATAGTACCCCAATACTCACTACCCAACCATGTACTTAGAGACCCCTCAAGTCCTCATTTAAATACTACTCATTACCCACTCCCCAACCAATCTATGCAAGCTATAAATTTACAAGTATTGGTTCTGTAAAATTATTATTGGTGCTGTTGCACTTTTGTAGCTTATTGTGGCTACATTTTGGAAATTTTTTGGGGATGGAAGTTACGTATGTGGGTTGTCTTTTCTATTTGCTTATGTCGTGATACTATATATGAGTTCGGATTAGGTGACTTAGGGGGTCCTTAGTCACTTGACTAAACCCCTCCTAACTCTTAGATTTAGACACATTAATCTCACGGTTAAAAAGTGAGAAGGGCTTTTTAATTAGTGATAGAGGTGATTTTGGTATTATGAAAATTAATTTTATTTATGTTTATATTTTTTTTATTTTTCTCTCTTTACTATCACTTTCGAGCTGTCTCCGTTCATTTTGACCAATCTTTTTTTTATTTATTTATTTTACCTTGTCAATACAAATCATGTGATAAAACTGTGCAAACCATACAAATTATACAAACCATATAAACAATACAAACTGGAACGACACACCATACAAACTATACAAACCAGATTTATAAACAATACAAACATACGAACTATACAAACAATACAAACTAGACCGACAAACAATACAAATAGTACAAAATGGGGGGAAAACAACCAGGTTGACTTTGGAGGTGTGGTTCCTATATATAGTAGTTTCATCCTAAAGTTAACCGGGTTGTTTTTTAGACATACAAACATTACGAATATGGTGGACAAAATGACAAACTATACAAACTAGATTCACAAACCGTACAAACTATACAAACTAAATTTACAAACAATACAAACCATACATAATGGATTTACAAACAATAAAAACCATATATAATTGATTTACAAACCATACAAGATGGAAAAAGAACCAAGTTGACTTTGGAGGCTTCGTCCTTATATAGAGGAGTTATGTCCCAAAATCAACCAGGTTGTTTTTAGTCATATAAACATTACAAATATTACAAACATGGTAGACAAAAATGACAAACGTTACAAACATGGTAAACAAAACTGACAAAACTTACAAACATTACAAAAGAAACTGAAAAACATTACAAAGTCGGTGGAAGGAGAGGAAAAATTCCAAGGGTCACTCTATTTTTTTATTTTAATTTATAAATAAAATAATCATGTAACTACCATCTTATTATTCATTAAATGAGATTAAATGGAATCATTAGATAATATTTTAAATGGAGGAATGCAATTGACTTAATCAAGTGGCTAAGGCCCCTAGTCACCTTATCCTAGCACGATTGTATAATTTTAGTAGTTCCCTGCATATTAATGTTTGTTGGTGATTGTTTTAGCTTTTCGATTAGTTTAGGTGATTGCTTTTGTTGGGTGGTGGAGTGGTGATTGGTTATTTTATCATTAAAATGTGAATTAGTATTTGAGTAACCAATATATAACATACTCATGGGATAAATAAGGACCGGATATGATAAGAGATATGATATTCGTTTCATCATATGATACCTATCCAAGATTCATCCAAAAATGAGATAAATAAGGACCGGATATCAACTATCGGTCTTCGATCCGGCCTCTTGTCATCCATGTTCAACGAATTTGAATTTGACATTCCTAGGGCTAATGAGGCAAGATTCTTCTTGCCGTACAAAGCTAACCTCCTATTGTCATCACGCTGGTGAATACTCTTATCTTCGTAGATTAAGTCTGCCACTCCACTTCTAGATTAACGAAATCGATGCCTAAACCTCCAATTGTTAGTTACAAGTTTGTTTGGGGTTAATTAGCGCAGGGAAGAGACGAAGAAACAAGGAAGGTGCTCTGCTCTGTCTGTTGTGAAGAAGGAAACAGGGGTCCGGGAAGATTTTATAATAAACTGACTCAAAAGCGGCAGAATTGAATCCTTTGGTTTACCCCGACGGCACGTTCAATTAAGCCGGCGTCCTCCTCCATTAGGAAAAAAACAAACTCCAATATTTGGTAAAAGGCAAATGTCAGCACTCTGTTTTTGTTTTGTTTTGATGAGAGGACGTCATCATGTCGCTCCTCTGTTTGCCGTGTCGTCTGCACATTAATTTCGTTTCACCAGTGTAAGACCATTGAAATTTTACCAATGCATTCACTTTACCCGAGTGATTCATCCAATAAAGACCGGACCCATGAAATTCCGATCAACCAATTCATCATCACAGGTAGAGCGAAGGAAACTGGGACCGCCGTCGTCCTTCCATCCAACCCTCCTCCTGTGATGGCCTACGGACAATTCAAACTCGCGTTCGCTGTTTCTGGCTTTCATCTGTTCTAGTTTGAACAATTCCTGGTAAGATACTAAGGTTAATGGTCTTTTTTTTTATTATTATCTAACTATATGTTCTTCTTGTCCCTTTCCCCTGGGAGACTTTTGGACCGACGACTCGGGCAACGAACGAAAGAGCAAAGATAGAAAGCAGATTAGTTTTAGTAGCAGCACCCATTGCTTTCTGCTTTTTAGCCAGTTGACGGGTCCCTGCCCTTGGTCTCGTCTCCGTTCTGTTTTTGCTTTTCCCGGTCCCAGTTCTTGTGGGTCTCTTTCGCACGAACTTTCATTTACTTCCAATCTTCCATCCCATTCCCCCCTTTCTCTGTTTTTTTTTTTTTTTTTTGCTGGGTGGCTAATGAGAGGTTGTAGTTCACTACTAGTTTGTTGATAAACTCCGAACTTTACCCCAAATTGTTCTTCAGCTGCATGCAACACACATCCGTCCCTGTCTGTTATACACTTCAATTTCTGTTTTCCTTCCATCTCTGATTCCTTTCACACACACTGAATAAAGAAAGCTTCTTCTTTCCCTTCTTTGCCTCGCAGGTTCGTTTTGGTAGTTTGAAAGTCCGCGGGGTTGAGCCGGGAGTCTGGGTCTTTGTTTACTAGTCTTGGGTTTGGCTCTGTAAAGGCCGAATTGTGTGCTAACTATGTACCTCGCTGATAAAGTTTCCGTCTTTTCCCTCTATGCTCTGCTTTTGTACGGTATGGGATGTCAGGAAATTGCAGTTTTAAGATTAACCAACTTTTGAGTCTCTTTGGTTTGGGAGGACTGCAGTTTCCTGCTAGGTTTCCGTTGTGATTGGGGGCTGCTAAGGAAGTTTGATAAAGTTTTCGCTGATTGGGGATTTGGGTTAGAGCCAATTGGTGTTGTTAGTTGAGAATAATTTCGTTGGTTGGTTTGGGGAAGCAAAGTGATAACTAGTCTTCAATCTTTCATCAATCTGTTGCCCTAAGCGTTTGGTTCCATATCACAAGGCAAGCCTTTGCTGTTTCTTCATGATAATATATGTTTTGGCTCGGTCTGATCATAAAGATCGAATACAATTTAGCCTAAACACGGAATTGAACTGACTGGTTGCTTGTTTGACTGACTCACAGATTCATTTGTCACGCCTGGTTTCAATGGGATCTGATGCCACGGAGCACGAAGAGGTTCCTCTTCAATTTCATTCATATAAGGTACTAACTAATCTTCTTTTTCGACTCACTGGTTAATCTGGAACTCGAAAATCGTGAACTTTCTGGATTTTTGTCATAGTGGTGGCATTAGGTTAGAGTTAGACCAAGAGTTAGTTACTTCTATGTACTTTAAGGGCTTTTCTTGCAACAAAAGGATATTCTGCAGCATGAGTTCTGGTTCTAGACACTAATACTGCTAGTCTTTTTGAGGAATTGTGGATGTAGTAACATGGTCCACTTCTTGTTGAGTTACAGGTTCATCATTTGATGTGTGCTCAGTTGATGAAGTTGGTAGAAAGAATTAGAGGAATATTTCCACAAATAGAAGCCTCACGACCTCGATGCTCATCTGGGATACGAGCGCTGGTCTCATTGGGCTGTGCCCTTGAACGGGCTAATCAACTTCTTCAGTATTGCTCCGAGTCAAGCAAACTATACTTGGTAGGAAATCATTTAATTTCTCCTTGTTTTCCTGTAATGTGGTCAGTTGCCCTCAATACATCTATTGCTGACGGAAGCCGCATAACTATTCAGGGGTCATGGAGACACAACATCATTTTAGCATACAGTACATGATGTATGTAGCTATTTGGCATTAACTTATTGTACATTTGGGATTAATTAACTTCAGGCAATGACTGGAGAGGCAATAGTTGCTAGATTTCTGAGATCAAGAAAGCAATTAGAACAAAGTTTGGGTCAGATTCAGACGATGGTCCCAGTGACCTTGGCTACTGAGGTTTGTTATTTTGTCTTCTTTGGCTGTGCATATGGAGCTTTGTTTTCTTCACAATTTGGTGGAGCTGATCTGAGTTTTTTTTTTGGAAGCTCTCTCCAATTCTCGATGACCTTGAAGCAGCAAACTTTGTGATGGATCCCTCTGAGGAGGAGGCGGGGAAGGTAATGCTCAAGTTGCTTCACCATGGAACAGATTCAGCAGAATCTCAAATTATAGTTTTTCGAGTTGCACTCTCTAAGCTTCGAATCACCTCCCAAAGGGACATAGTAATAGAGATGAGATCTATCAAGAAGCTTCTCGACACAGTTGGTGACAGCAGCCCCAACAAAACAGAGATCTTGAGGACCCTTTTCTATCTCTTAAAGAAGTACAAAAACTTAGTTTCAATGAAGCACCGAAAGGGTTACCATGAAGGAACAACTCCCATTACTGATAATATCAACGATGGGCAGGGAAATCCAGGAGTAGGAAACCCCGGTGAAGATGCCCGACAGCCTGAAATATTGTCAACTGATGCTGCTGGACCACCTGAAGAGTTTAGGTGCCCTATATCAAGGAGAGTGATGTATGATCCTGTCATCATTGCTTCTGGACAAACATATGAAAGGATGTGGATACAAAAGTGGTTTGATGAAGGCAATAACACATGTCCTAGGACAAAATCGAAGTTGGAGAACTGTTTCATGATCCCAAACACCGGTATGAAGGCCCTCATATTAAAGTGGTGTATAAACTATGGAATCACCATTACTGATCCAACTACACAACCATTGCAGTCTTTGGATCTTTCTTCCGACTCTATCACTAGCTTAAGCAGTTCTATGAATGATATTGTTCAACTCGATATCAGCAGTCTATCACTCGGTTCTTTGGAAGCTAGTTACAGCTATGATGCTATAGAACATTCAAGATCGAAGCTAATGCCTGAACATGACAGTCTTAGTAAGTGTGAGTATCATGCAAAAATGTGTGACAAGGAAGTGGAGGTATTATCTCAGCTATCAGAGCTTCCTTGGGATTCTCAGTGCAAGATTATTCAGGATATAAGTAGTCGCCTGAAAATTTGTGAGTGTCAAGTTTGGGATTCTGAGTCATCTAGATTGTTTATTGAACCGCTGCTTATACATTTGAGAGATGCTCTTGAACGGTGTGATATACCAGCCCAGAAGAATGGATCCAAATTGTTCCTTGCACTTGTGGACAAATCTGGGTAAGGATATGTTTCTTTTCACTGTCTGCAAATCTTCTACTGTCCTTTTAAGTGGATAACATGCTTCCTCTTGTGTACTATGTAAATTTGTTTCTTGCTGCATTTTGGATGATTGGTAGAATGACTCTCAGTAGATAGTAAATTTATCTTTCAGGTTGTTTGGTTGGGTATGTTTGGGATATTCATATTTTCAGAAAGCATGCTATTAAACAAATATGATTGATTTTCATTAATGCTGAATGCATTTGAAATTGCACATCCAATTTCTCGTTCTGGAGGTTAGGAAGTATTTGAAACTGGACTCTACAAAATTGTGTCTCACGTGTTTACTTCTCTAGTTTCTGTCAAAATGTCCTGCACAAATGCACTGAACAATACAATTTTACTTTTGGCAATACACCTTCGAAGAATAGCATGCAATTGAGATAATGCTTTCATACTTTCATGGTTGGCTACTTAGCATATTGTCTTGGTTCCATGCAGAAGCGGAGCATCACACTTGCAGGAAGATGCATACAGTTTGTTGGCCTCTTTCCTCGACTCTGAAGTAATTGATGAAACTGTCGCAATATTAGACAGGCTCTCTGCCCACCAAAACTGCAGGTCCAAAATCGAAGCATCCGGTGGCATTGATTTTCTCCTGAAGATATTTGACTGTGAGAGGAAGGAACTACAGGAACAGGTGATCAGAATCTTATGCAACTTGTCCTCATCAAGCAGTGACGTCTGTTCCAAGTTAGCTTCTTTGGAATGTTGTATTATTCCGAAGCTGGTTCCTTTCATCAAGGAGAGCAGTGTTGCAAGACACTGCATCCTTCTGCTCAAAAACTTGTGTGACACGGAGGAGGCTCGAGTTACTGTTGCCGAGACCAATGGCTGCATCTCTTCCATCGCTGAACTGCTGGAGAGTGAGAGCGGTGAGGAGCAAGAGCATGCAGTGACTGTTCTTCTCTCTCTATGCTCTCAGAGAGTTCAGTACTGCCATCTTCTGATGGAAGAAAGCGTGATTTCTAACCTTTTCAGCATCTCGTTGAATGGGAACGACAAGGCTAAAGTGAGTGCATTGGAATTGCTTCGGCAATTCAGAGATGTGGAGCCTTGTGAAAGAACTGAGCTAGAAAGCAGCTCTCTTCCTCCTCATTGCCTTGATGATACAGCTGCCCATGTAGAGGTTGTTTCTCCTCATGACAGAGGAAGAAAGCAAGGATTTTTTAGGAGCCTAGCTGGGTCTCTTACATCCAAGAAGAAGGGATAGATAAACGGTTATCTCTTACCTCGTTTAGGTATTCTCGTTATTTTATTTTTTATCCTTGGGAAGAGCCAAGGGTTTACCTGGTTGAATCTATAGTTAGATATAATCACATGCCTTTGTTAGTAAGTGGCTTTGTTTTTGTTTGTAGCATAAGTTGGTTTTGTTTTCCATTTTCCTTTCACTCTGATGCCTAATGCAGCTGTATATTTTTTGGTAGAATGTATATGTGCACAGATGTGGCTTTGCTTGCCACTCAATCCCAATGTGAATTGGACTCCTTGTTAATAATCAGAGGCTTTAGCTCCACTTACATTTACTCCCCAATAAAGAGACTCATGGAAGAAAACACCATGGCTGATTTTGGCCCTTTGATTTGAGTGTTTATGCTGCTGATAGTGTTCAACCTGGAAAGCAGATGTACTTGCAGAAGAAACGTACTGATATTCTGATATGCATTTGTTGTTTGTTCCCCCCAATATCATAATATGTCCATTTTTTGCAAGTGAATGTAGATTTGGCAAGTGTCAGCCATTGATGAGTGAGATGATCAGTTTCCCTTCCAGATATGCCTACCTTTGAACAGTTTTGAGTGGAGGAGAAGGGGTTAGCCCTTTGCTTCTTCTTTTCTTTTTTCCAAAGACAGAAGCATATGAAGTTAGGGGAGGGATGGGTGGTGGGTTTAAAGTATAGTTCCAAAGCCACCCCCCAACATACCCTCCAACTATTGGTCTCCTACCTTCCCATCACTTATCCCCAGTACCCATAATAAAAAAATCTGTCCTTAGTTTACATCAACTCAATAATACATGTCTAGGGCTCCAACTCAAATCTGTTCAGGCAAGATTTGGTAGGGTGGGCCTTTTAATCAAACAAACCCTAAATCTTTCTTCCATCTATGGTAATGTGATCCTGTCCCTCTTAGCAACCCATCTCTTTGCCCAAAGGACACCTTGTTCTCTACTCTACTGTACTCAAACCTTTCTCAGCCTCAAAAGGGTCAAGAAAACTGCAGTCACTTGCTGCTACTGCCTTGTATGAACAAAACATAGTACAGTACTCCATACAATGGTCATGGTTATAGAACCTCTGGAGATTTTTTGCTCTGTAGGAGATCTGATGGGGATCAACATTCAGCCACAGGGTGGCTGTTTATCTTGAAAGTGACTGTCTTTCTGCTGGCCTAGTTTGGCACATGTTGTCGGTGGGTCACCCTGTAGACTTTATATTATACACGGCCTTATCCATGGATGAATCCTGCAGGATTATTTAATCAAATTTTCCCATGCAAACAATTAAGAATTATATATGCATAATATATGTGTGTGCAGACAGATTAGTAGTAGTTTCTGCCTGTCATTCTTTATTCTTGTCCATAATAATGAGAAGAGCCCAAATCTGCTTGGGTCAAGGTGAGCCATTATTGATGCAACTCATTCAAGAAATGTAGGACGAATTCATTGTCCCAGTAAGGTGGCAGGTGCACTTGCAAAATTGCCTCAAATAACAAACCTAACCTACTCTTCCTGCCTTCTAAAAACATATGGCTATTCGAGTAGTTTTCAAATGAGTATGATAGTAGTCGTGCTATTCGCACTTGCTTTTCTTGTACAAAATATTTCGTCGAGAACCCTATGATGCACTAAATTATGGTTTCTTTCAAAAATAGTTCTTATCTTCTGGTACTCTACTAGGCCTATCAATTATGTGCTTTTAGTATCACTAATGAAATAATCCCATGAACACGTTTTCGAAGAAAATTTGAGATTACTGCACAAATGTGCTTTGAAGTCCAGCTCATTTTCTCGTTAGTGCTCGTTGCGTCTAAGTTGGATAGAAGGGATTAGGGAAGAGGGAGAACAGTGAAAACATGCTGTGGCATGTGGTTATCTGAGCTATGTATACGAAAATTTGATATGATCTTAGTCTCTTTGATTCTAACTAGGAACTGAGTTTAGAAAAGTTGTTTTAGTTACGAAATTTCTTGCTCACGCTCCTCTAACTCAATACAACAAACCATTTTCATACGAGCTCTGCTCTGGTAGAGCTCATCCATATGGGCTCCTAATTAGGGATGGCAATTTTGCCCATACCCATGGGTATTTTACTATCCAACCCAATTGGGTTGGGTATGAAATCCAAATATATGGATATGGGTAAAGTTTGATGAGTTTGTACCCATACCCATTTACTTTGGGTTGGATTTGAGTTTGTACCCATGCCCAAATACAAATTACAGTTTGGTACCTAAACTTAATAGATATGCATATTTAGTACCTAAATTTAATTTTTTTTTGCATATAAGTCCTCAAAATATCGATGGAAAATTACGTTTTGGTACCTAAATTTTTTTGGTCTTACATTTTGGTACCTAAAATTTTCAAGTTTTACAAATAAGTCCAATTTTTGCATGTGTAGTTAAAACACTCTCAAGTAAATGGATATCCATATCCAACCCATACCCATGTAGATAATATCCATATCTAACCCAAACCCATACACACATCACCCAAACCCTACCCATAATAAATGGGTCTAAAAAATGTTTTACAGAAGATGGAAAAAATCCAGTGCAACTTCATATGGTCTGGTGTACAGGACAAGAACAAGTATCACTTGGTCAGGTGGGATGTTTGCAAAGCTGCAAAGGAAAATGGAGGATTAGGAGTGCTGGACCTTGAATGTATGAATATTGCTTTGTTGGCTAAATGGGTGTGGAAATTTGCAATGAAACCCGACTTGTGGTGGCGTCGTCTCATTGAGGCCAAGTTCCCTAATGCTTCTTCTAATTGGAGATCAGGAAATGGCGGTGGGCCTGTGGGATGCTCGATTTGGAAGCGGATTATGAAGGATGAAACATTGTTCTGGAGGTATTCGTATATTTCTCCTGGTGGAGGCGCGTGGGTATCGTTTTGGGATGACTGTTGGATTCCGGGAATGATTCTGAAAGATGCTTTTCCTCGAGTTGCGGCTGCCGCTATCCACCATGATGCTTGGGTGTCTGACATTGTATCCTTTGAAAACGAGAGAGTGGGGTGGGATTTTCAACTTTTTGTTACATTAAGGGGTGGGGCTGAGAGTGAAAGAATTGATCTTATGCATAAACTGTCACTGTTACCTCTTGGGTTTATTTCTGCAGGACCTGCAAAACTCATTTGGAGTCCGTGTTCGAGTGGCGACTTCAGTGTGAATTCGATGTACAAATCGCTCAACCTTGAGAGGTTTCCTGGCTGCAATGATTTCCCCTTTAAGGTGGTTTGGCAGCCTGATGTTCCCATGAAAATTCAAGCATTTCTGTGGCTTCTTGTGCATGGTCGAGTTCTCACCCATGATAACCTGAAAAGAAGGGGCTGGTGCATCGTGAGCAGATGTGCTTTGTGCATGAAGGCAGAAGAAGACATAAATCACCTGTTCTGGAGATGTCCCTACAGCAGCAATATTTGGAATGCTCTGCAGCAGGCGGTGGAGGTCTTTGGTCCCTTTCCAGAAGATTTTGGCTCAATCATAAAAGGATGGACGTTCTGGAGTAATAGCTCCTGGAAAAACAGAATAATTCATGGTGCTTTACATGCTTTCTCCTGGGAGGTTTGGAAAGAAAGAAATGCAAGAATATTCCAGGGCAAGTGTAAACCTTGGCAAAACATATTCCATGTCATTTGCAGGATCCTTCTCAGTTGGGTGAATGCTCTCGGCATCATGAGTGAGCGTGGTCGCGAAGAATGGCTGTCTCTAGTGAAACATATTTGTCCTATTCCCGTGACTAGCGGCCGTCAAGGAAGATATGATAGCTTGGAGTTGGATGCGGGTTAATGTCTAATATGAGTCATTGTTGTTCTCGATGGTCTCGTTACCGGTTTGTTTCCTTGTGATTGTTTTTCCCAGTCTTTTATGTAAGTCACTGGGTTTTCTTCGGCGCGCAGGAGTGGTCTGATCCGCTTAGCGTCCTGGTTCAGTTGAGTGGCTGATTGGTAGCTTGCCCTCTCGTTAGCTCCACCGGCTTGTCCTGACTTTTATTCCTGTTTTTGTTCGATTAATTTAATCATTCACCATTATCAAAAAAAAAAAAAAAAATGGGTCTACTTGGGTTTGGGCAAAATTACCCATGGGTGGGTAAATTGCCATCCCTACTCCTAATCAGTAAACACACAATTGAGAGAGGGTTAACTCCTTTAACTTGTGGGCCACGAAAGCTACTTTCTGGCTTATGTTCATACCAAACCAAAGTCAATTCCATACTTGGAAGTTCAGGTTATTGATAATCCCAGTAGTGCATTTATCGTACTACAAGGATTAATAGTTTAATACCCGCATGTTTAATGCACTTCTCTTCCTAAACCTATACGTATTTCCCAATTGAGGTGGGTTCCTCCGGATCCAGATGTACAGCTGCAAACTAGCAAAAGCAAAGAGCATCATCAGCAACAGAACGGCAATCTGAAAGAACAAGAATCCCGTCGAGAAGATCTCTCTCCCTCCCCGTTTTCATGGCTGCTGAATGGACAACCCCACATGGGAGTTTCCAAATATGGGGACCATTGCCCATTTCTCTAGCAAATGGTCTACATTCCTTTCTTCTTCTTCTTCTTCTTCTTCTTCCTCCTTCTTTCTCTTTCCACTCCTCTTATCTAATCCATTAAACCATCATATCATTAAGTTTCTCTTCCTCCCCACACCCCCAACCCTCTCTGCCTGCGACTGTATTTATGTCTTTGCCTCTTTCTGTCTTCTCATTTACGCTCTCAGATTGGGACTCTCACCAAATATTTCCCTCTTCTTCTTCTCCTTCTCCCACCACAGCTCAATTTGAAGCCACCGATTTTGGGAGTGGTTGAGATTTTTATGCTGCTGCTGCTGCAAGAAAGTGAAGGAAACAGCATCGATAAAGACCTCTTCTTCTTCTTCTCCACCTCATCTTTACAGGACCATTTCAGTTCCTCCCCTGTAACAGAGATTAAAAAAAAAAAGCAGGGGAGAAGAAAAAGGGGGAAACGTCACTATATATCTATCGATCTCATCACCTAAATGCTTTCTCGGGAACACACAACTTGCATGGACATGATGAGTGTGTTAGAGAGACAGGCTGCAAGGTTCAAATGGCTGCAACAACAGCAACAGCAACTACAACTTAAAGACGCCACCCACTTGCCAATAATGCCTCACTTCCAGGGAATCTTCAGTCAGCTTGAGACAGGGTCGATGACGACTCTGCCGCAGCACGGGGGGAACCATCATCTCCTGCTCCCTTCAGGATTCGAGTTTCTTGCTCCCCCCGACCAAGTTGTCAGCCATCATCCTTCTCTTGGAATTGACCATTGTCTCTCGAGGACTTCTAGCTGCCACATGACGGCGGCGCCGGCTTCGGCTCGGGCGGCTCCCGAGGAGGGGGAAGAGGATGCTGTGGTGGTTATGATGGCAGAGGGAAATGGAGGAAGAGGCTTGGCGGATGGTTCAAACAAGAGGAAAACAGAGGTCTGTTTCTTTTTTCTGTTCCCCTTTTTGCTTCTTTTACTGAATTTCGACCAACGGGATAGTGAAAGTTTTGGCCTTTCTCTTGTTCTGCGTTTCTCAGAACGAAGAAATTAGAGGGAAGAAGAGAGTGAAAGGAGAAATGGAGGTGGAGTCTAGCAGAAGCAGAAGTGAAGAGACTAATTGCAGAGAAGATTCAACACAGGAGGAAACCCAGAAGAAGAAGAAGAAGGGTTCTTCATCAGGAGATGAGAAACAAGATTATATTCACGTCAGGGCGCGCCGCGGCCAGGCTACTGATAGTCACAGCTTGGCAGAAAGAGTAAGTGGAAATTGAACTCTTTGTTGGAGTGTGTTCGGATTTGCCGAAATCCTCATTTCCTGAAAGCTACTCTGTTTTGCGGACTCTGTTTCAGGCAAGGAGGGAAAAAATAAGCAGGAAAATGAAGTGCCTGCAGGATTTAGTCCCTGGCTGCAACAAAATCACTGGAAGGGCAGGGATGTTGGATGAGATCATCAATTATGTTCAGTCCCTCCAGCGCCAGGTTGAGGTAATTGCTTGAAATCTCCTGCAAAAACCCTAGCTAACTCTAAGAAACAGAGCATTTTCTGTCTCTCTGAAACAAAAGAACTTTACTTTCGTTCTTTCTTGTAGTTCTTGTCAATGAAACTTGCTGCGGTCAACCCAAGACTGGAATTCAGCTCCGATAAGCTCTCCGGCAAAGAGGTATTAGCTTAAGATAAGAGCGTCCTAGAGTCGAAGTTCTTGCAGCATGACAAATTTCTTTCAGAACTGACTTGTTATTGTCTTCTGATGCAACGAAACAACCATGGCAACAGTTTCCTGGTTACCCGAGTTTTCCAACAGCCATGAGCAGCATGTTTCCGGGAGCAGCAAGTTTGGCGCAGCTTCAGCAGCTTGCAGCAAGCAGAGAAATGGAAAACCTGACGACGAATCACAGCCAGATTTCTTCTGAGAAAACCCAGACCTCCTCGGCTTTCAGTCCTGAACTCTGTCTCGATTCCTCCAGTTTCCCTGTAATCATCTCTTTGGCTCTGAACTTAAAATTTTCCAGCTTTTTCCCACCCTCTGTTTTGCCTGACAATTACTTCACTTCCGAATTTTGCAGCAAGTCCAAGTCCACCAACCTTTCTGGGAAGCGGATTCGCAGAGCTTCCAGGACATGGGTTTCCATCGTTATCAAGGCTGAACCAACATCAACGCCTTCTTTCACTTTATTATGTGCCAACTGCCACCATTTGACAAGTGGGTGTGACTGAACTGAGCTCGTGGGTATCGCAGAGAGAATCAACAGAAGAAGCTATTTCAGGAGGAGAGGAAAAAACAATTTGTGGACTCAAGATGCGACAGTTTCGTATTGCTTCTCTGATGATTTATTATTCTCAAGTGTAAAACTAGTGGGTTTGCTGTCTCCAATCTTTTTTTCTGTTCATATTTTTCTAGTTTCTTGCCCTGTATAGTAGCTCTGCTGCTTTCGCACGGAAGCAGCATACAGTAAGCTGTAATGAACTATATATTGATCGATCTGTTACCTACAACACACATCCATCCCATCGAATAGCCCTCGCAACCTCCATCCGACATTTCCCAGATCGAGGAAGCAAGAAAAGTAATCGATAGATCCTAGATGGAACCATATTTGAGCTTATATATACTTGGGTTCGGTTTCGTTTAACCAATAACCGATTAGGTGGTTAATGGTTAATCACTAAGCAAAAAAATGCATACTGATAAGGCTTATCGAACCGCATGTTATCGGTTGAGTTAGCGGTTAGTTTCAAAGTTAATCCCTGACCAAAAACAATCTTCACATGTAATATTATTCTTTTATTCTTTTGAAAATATAATCATACAACTAATTCAAAATAATTTAACTATACTTGCACGTTGTTAACATAAAATAATAAATTATAAGAAATAATATCAATATAATACAACATCTATTGTGAGTTCATAATCTCAATTAGAATTCCAACACATAAAATTACAAATGATAATACATTTGCATCCGATTAGCGAGTACAAACTAGCAAGACATCAAATACAAGCACCACAAAATCATCAACATTCACAAACGTCAAAGGAACAATGACTACTAGAGTACTGCGAGGTTTGCTTTGTCGACCGCAAAGGAAATTCGGAGAGGAGTGACTTTCGGATTCTGAATCTTAAACTTATTTGAGAATTTGGTGGAGAGTTGTTTCCAATAGGAGTGGATTCGAATGTTTATAAATAGCAACTTTGGATGATTTTGAATCTTGGAAATTTTATCGTTTGCCAAACCCAAAGCTATGTGGTAATACTAGCAAGCAATTATTAGTTTTCTTATCGATTAACCACTAACCAACTAATTGGTTAAGATTAATCACTAAGTAAAATAAATCGAAATCAAACCACTAAGAAATTATGGGTTATCGATTAACCACTAATCATTGTTATCGGTCAAAATCTATAACCAACTAACCGTTTACCACCCCTACTCGTGAAAACCACTTGTCCACTTTCGGTTAAGACAGTGTCAAATATACATATGTTGTGTTCCAAACTTGAAATCTCTAATATCGAAACTCCTCCTGGGTTGAGCAACATTTTCCAAGCAACAAGAGGCCTAGTTGTAGAACCACATCAATCCAAACTAGAACAATGCGGGTGGAATCCCCATTCTAATTAAGAATTCTTGTGATTCCGGAGGATCCAGCTACAAGAGAATCAGGAATGGACTTTCTCATCCCTTTTTTTTCGCCCCATTCTTTAGTCTTACGAAAGGTAGAGCTTCTAACTATGATGAATGCGCTAATTATGGATATACTATCAAAAATAGACCAATTGTACATCACTTTCAATCGAATTAGAAAAACAATGTATATTGGTTTCATCCGATTTTCTACCCTACAAATGTTAATCTCTACTGTTGATATGTTATGAACTCAGGGTATGAATGATATCATACCAATTGGTTTATTCATTTGCTCAAAAGGACCACACCTTGACCTTGTCTATATCTGAAAATTGGGCAATTTTTACACAAAAGAAAAAATGGGAAGCCGCAAAATATCCTATGTTGGATCTCTTGTCTAGTGAACCGACTGGCAATGCCAATTATGGATTGGTGCTGACTGCTGAACGAATGGTCCTCCATCCCAAATACTGATGGCTCATCTACCCTACAAGGCCCACCTCTTAATAATTATTCCCTGTCCATTCCACCAACAAAAAAATGTTGAGAAAAGGATTCCCCAAATTTAAAAAATTTACACAAAGCCCAATTCGAATGGACCCAGTTGGGCCTCAGTGCATGGGCCTGTAAGGTCCGACCAAATGTATATCAAACCTCCCGACTTCTTCACTCACTCACTACACTACCTGTCGAGGAATTCAAAAAACTTCCCACTCCGCTCCAAAGTTGCCCTCCGATTCCGAATCCGATCGGCGATCTCTCTCTTGTTCAAATTCGCCGTATTTAGGGTTTCTGTTCCCCTAATCGTCGCCGATTTCCTGGATCCAATGGCAACGGAGTCGTCGGAGGGGGAAGACGAAGGGAAAATTACCGGAGGAAGCCAGCACCTGGTTGTGGAGGACGACCTGAGAGAGCTGGGTAAGAAGGCTGCTTGGAGCGTCAGCTCTTGCAAAACCGGAAACTGCGTAGCTTCCCTCCGCGACGACAATCTCGATACTTACTGGCAGTAAGTCCTAACTTTGCCCAAATCCCTTTTCTGATTAAAGCTCCCAACTTTAAGGGTTTCTGTTTCCCTTTTTTTCCCCCAACCGGCAGATCGGACGGTGCTCAGCCGCATTTGGTGAACATTCAGTTCCAGAAGAAAGTGAAGCTGCAAGTAAGTAAAAGAAGTGTCCTTTTGTTCGATTTCCCGACTTAATTAGGCTTCGTCTTACTTTCATGAATTTGGGTTTTGTTTATGTGTTGACAAGTTGGTAGTAGTTTATGTGGATTTCAAGCTTGACGAGAGCTATACCCCCAGCAAGATCCTCATTCGTGCTGGTGATGGCTTCCATAACCTCAAGGTAGTTCATGCCATTTTCTTCATGGGCTCTTGTTTCTTGCATATCAAAGCTATTCGAAAGAGGGAGAGAGATTGCTATTTCAACCCTGCTCTTGTGCCTTTTCAGGACATCAAAACGGTGGAACTTGTCAAACCTACCGGTTGGGTTTACATATCACTATCAGGAAATGATCCAAGGTTAAGGTCTAACCCACCATTCTCCTTTCTCTTATGTCAACATAATGATAGAGGTTACGCTGTTATGCTGTCAAAAAATCAAGATGGTGTGCTGAGTTAATCAGAGTCTTTGCTGTGTGCAATACGTGCTGCCAGGGAGACTTTTGTGAATACGTTTATGCTGCAAATTGCTGTGATCTCGAATCACCTAAATGGAAGAGATACTCATGTCCGCCAGATCAAAGTTTACGGCCCCCGCCCGTGAGTGTCTGTCTGTCTTCTTCCTCCCCACCTCACTCTCTTGTGCAGAAGTTGTTTTCCGCTCATTCTCTACTCGTAATTTTCTTGCAGGAACCCTATACCGCATCAACCATTTCAGTTCACTTCAACAGAGTTCATCACTTACTCTTCTGTTAGATGATTAACACTAAGGCTTTGTAACTTGCTTTGGAGATGGATTAGTGTTTGAAGCCCCTGTTGCGTAGCTTGAGGATCAAAGGGTCTGAAGTGAAGACACCAGAGGAGAAGCTTCTTCCTTCTTTTGTATTTTCCATTTGGTTAATTGCTTCAAAATGAAATACCTCCATTTTCACACTTCACTATGGCTTTGATATTATAGAAGCATATTCATCGATGTGGTTTGGCGAAATCTTTTCTATTTTTGTGGTTCGGTATCCCTGCTTACATCAGTCAGTGGCATGGCTGATTAACCAAACAAAGGAGAATAACCAATGGAACCAAGGAACATAACAGTAAGCAATGGAACCAAGGAACATAACAGTGACTTTTGATTATTACAGATCAATCTCATGAATACAATGATAACCAGAGGCTACAGGTTTGATGTAACTAGTCAAAGTAGTAGTTTAATCCCCCCCTCCGTTTGGCAGAGATTATAAGAAGAGCAAATGGACATTGCAGAACCCTATAAAGTAAACCACCTAAGACCAAAAAAATGGCTGCAACCCTTTAAAGGAACATAGCCAAGCTTCCAACTAAACCTCGCTTGGAAACATAACTACCGCTCTGAAAACAAATCAGTGTCTCTTGACGATCAATAATGAATCATAATAATTCACACTCCAGGTATGATTAACCAATTGGCAATACTGCACAGCTATACACTACAGCAAAACAACCTTCTTCTTCTTTTAACTTCAGTAGAACTTCCATAATAGAAAGGATACAAAGGCCAGTATTAGAAGACAGTGATCGCGCACATACCACAGGATATAGAGTAACTGTATTGCCAAACGATTTCTCAGACTGCTGTCATTCGTTCACTCACAGGCTGGTTTGGTGTCAAAGCTGCTGAGGCAGAGTGTGAAGGCTTGAAAAGCAGAGAGCGGGTAGCTATAGTCCATGGTGAATATGTCTTTTCCAATCTTCCCGAACTGTAAAAGGACCCGATCGTGTTCTTCAGCTGACACATTCTGGTGGTGGGGCTCAAAAGCAGCAACAAGTTGGAAATTCTTCACGGAAGCAACTGTAACTCGCCCCCTGAAGTTCAAGCACCAACACTGAAGCTGCTCGTGCCACCTGGGAGCCCTATTTTTTAGGACCAAGGGCTCTCCTATTGAGCCAGGGATTACCAAGGGAGACTCTGATGGACTGTTGGTGGAACTGACGTCGGAACCTGGTCCTCCCCCCCTTCCTTTAAAGACTGGTGAAGGATAGAACTGATGTCCATCGACTGTTGTCTCTGGCAGTGATGCTGCTGTTGGGGCACTGCCACCTTCCTCCATCGAAGAGACAGGGATAGAGTTCATGACACAGTGCATTCTTCTCGGTCCTCTTGTGCGGAGGACGTTCAGCTCATAGTTTACTGTGCCTATTCTGTAGCTAGAGCTGGGTGTTCGAGTAGATGGTTGTCTGGAATGAAATCTGCTGCGGCTTGTCCGCCTGCCGGATTGAGTTGGAGCTTCGTGTGAAGATTGCCTTTCTGATATGGTGAACTTAGTCCCCAAAAAGTTTGACCTGCATAAGTTCATTCAAGATAAGTGGTATGCCACAATAATAACTGATTCAACTGATTGATGTCTTTGCTGATCAGTTAACCAACTTCTTAATTAAATGCATCCTCCAAATTTTAAAATTTACTTTCAAAATCTAGTTTAGAGATACATCTTTTCTATATTTACCAGTACTACTCTTACTTGTCCATAAAACATTAAAACTCAAAAGACTTCTGGGATGATTTGTCATTTCTAACTTCATATATTTCAACCATCCAATTTCTTGATCGTTTCCTTATTTTCATTTTTTTCCAAACACATCCACTTCTACTAGTTTCTCAAGTAGCCCAATTGTCCCAACTAGTCTAAACGACCAGAGTACTGAACTTGCCTGAGTCTCCCAATGTAGTTGTTGCTGGAGCGAGAAAAATCATTTGAAACCAGAGATATAATGAAATCCGTGCAAGTTGTCCTTCTGATTCTCTTTGCTGCTAACAGCAATTTATCCTTCTGGCCCTCAGCTGCAAACCAAGAAACACCGTTTGTTCAGGTTTAGGGCCTCCTAATGACATTTCAAGGGAACTTGTATTCTACTTGGAATCCTTCTCACAAAGATGGGACTGCAGTCAACAAGGTATCACCTGTCGATGCATCCCCTCCTTGTTAAATGAATTCCGAAGAGTACTTTGAAATTGCAGAGAACTTTGAACCAGAGCACAACAGTTGAAACACTATGGATATATGAACACCACTCAAACCTAAATTGCCATCAATTAGTGAAATAAGAGAACAAAAGAAGTAAAGAACCACACAACTTACAAGGCATCAATCCTGAATACAACAGAAACGTGGAGGTCATAGGATCCCTTCTGATGTAGCACTGTATGGGAGACTCACGAGGACCCGGCTGTTCCAAAACCAACAATGATCAAACCAATTAGATCAAACAATTCAACTGAAATAAAGTAAACCCAGGAATAAAAATGGATTAGGCTAGAGCATTCACCTGTTTCAATGAAATAGGGAATGTAAGTCTCCCGCATTGTTGAGGAGTTTTCACAACTTCCCTTGTAACTTCTCTCCATGACTTACAAACTGAAGCACAATGAACGACCACAGCACGAGCAGGCCATGAAGTCTCAGTCTCTTCCACCCTCTGGATGATATCCAAAAGCAATTCAGAGGGCAAGTTGGCCCACTGGCCTTGCTCAATGGATTCTTCTGATTTAACCATTGAAGTTTCATCAGGAGCTATATGTGATCTTGCCCTGCCTCTCCACCGCTTTCCTTCAACCACTCGACCAGACCTACTCCCAACCCCATCTTTAATCTCCTTCAGCTCGCGAACAATGCTCTTGAATGGCATCTTTATCTTGCACATTTCAGACACGGAGAGAAGATCAGCAAAGCACAATCCCAACCCTAGTTCAAGATGTATGAAACTGGGTAAACCCAAAACTGAATCAACCCTCCTCAGGAAATTAAAGGAAATCTCAAAGCAACCAATTTGGATTTCTCCTAAAACAAGAAAGGTGTTTCCTGTTATCAGTTGGAAGAGTTGTTTTCAGAACTGCAGGGAGGAAATAAGGAACTCGAGAGAGAAGTAGCACATTGTTAAGCACGATTTGTAAACAGGTCAGGACAAACTCCACTGGAAGTCTGGCATCACCCGGAAAAAATAGAATGGGGAAAATGCCAGGACCTAGAATATTCGTTATCGAAAGCTTTGAACTCTGTCCCCTTTTTGTTCCCGTCGAAACAGTCCCGTAAAATGAAACCAAACGAAACGAAAAAGAGAATAAATGCAAGGAGAACTCCACAAACCATGGCTCCTTAAATCAAGCCAAAAGATAAGATCACAAATTCTAACAAACTAGAAAACTGAAACCAGAGTAGTACACAGAACTAGAAATGAAATAACACCAACCTTTCCTCAGCCAATCAGCTCAATTAAGATTTAAAATCTGCTTGCTTTGCCCAGAACCGCAGAGCAGGAGATCCAATAGAGAGCGGGCGGGCGCGAGAGAGAGACAGGGACGTCGGGGGAGTCTGACTTAGAATGAAGAGCTGGAGTACATATGAGGTAGAAAAGTGCGACGGTGGAGAGATTTTAGATTACTACTGCCAGAAAGGTGGACGGTGACGGCGGCGGCGACCAGCAGCTCCACCGGTGAGTTACGTTACGAGTGAGGTCTCTGCCCTGACTCGGAGCCACGACACCAGATGTGTGTGTGGGTGAAGAGGAGGGGGGACGTAGCCAGGGGAGTAAGAGGGCGGAGCAGTGATTGAAAACGAGAGAGAGGAGAGGAGAGAGGTCCCCCCGAATTCGGCTGCCATAACACGGATCGCCTCTTCATTCTCCTTCCCCTTCTCTCCTCGCCATTTTTTTGCTTTCTTCGCCTTTCTCTCTCTCGTTGAAAAAATCCGCAGTCCGTTTCGGAAGCTAATCAATTGAACCAATTAAAAATAGAACTAGGTTGGAGGGAAGGCAGGTAATTTTTTTATTTTTCAATTTGACGTGATCTTTAATCTTTATAAACTTTTATCGGATAATATTTATTGGTATAGATAATTTATGCATACGATATAATTTTTTTTTACACAAAACATGTTTAAGATTTTACTAATCAGATGTTATTACACAACTGATTATACAAAAACATTGATAGTCTATTCAACAAAATCTCTCGACTATCACATCTCGTCTTACTATGCGCCATTATATGGGCCGCTACATTAGTATCTCTTTTCACATGGCATATATCAGCTTCACCCGAACCGACCTGTAGCATATATCTCATAAAGTCCCACAGACGGTACCTATCTCCGGTGAGTACTCTTCGCAGAAACTATCATGTTAACAAGCGTCAAGTAATCCACCTCCAATATCAGTTGTGGAACCTGGAGTTGGCACCCTAATTGAACACCAAACTCGAACGCCAAAGCTTAGGTCATTTCCACATCATACGTCCCACAAACATTTTTGGCCGCCACTTCAATAAACTCGGCAACTGGACATTTGCCTTCTAAACTAATGCCCTCCCTCTGAATCATGCATGCACCTGTATTAACTTTCATTCTTCCCATGGGTGGTGTGCGTCAATCGACTCGTCTCCAGTACCATCAATGTGATGTTGTGTTGTTTATAGTCCTCCAGCAAGAAGCCTGCTCTTGGGACAATCTCTTCCTCGTCCATATTTCGTCCATTAAACGGGTGGACATTTCGCACCTTCCAAAGGAACCAAAGAAGCATGGCCCATCTTCCCATCACATCTCTCGGCACTTGGGCCACCACATTCAACGCCCAATCGACACACTCACTTGTTCTGCGGAGCTCAAAGCAGTCCACAAAGGGAGATGTCCGTCAAATACGACAGCTCCAGCTCCAGCTGCACTCAACAAAGAGGTGCACCTGTGTTTCTTTTTTATTACAGAACGGGCAAGTGTCTCCCCACTTAGTACTCTTAGTACTTACCTTCACTCCCGTTGGAAGAGAGTTTCTTGCAAACCGCCACATAAAATGGCAAACTTTAGGTGACACGTTACAAGTTCAAATGGCCCTCCACAAACATGTTTTCCCGTCGCAACAATTTCATCGATATGTTTAAAGTATTCAAACCAAATTTTATATACATCCCTCACGTTGTAGCAACCTGTATCATTGGACTTCCAAATAAACTTGTCTCTCTCATTATTTCCTCAAAGTGGAATTTGCATAAAAATTTGAGCAATATTTATTTTATGGGCAATATCATTTTTTTTTATTAAAGCTTAGTGCAATTCCCCTTTTAAACTAGAGGAAAAGCATTCTTGACCATTAAATGGACTGCAAATTGCAGAAACTACTGAACACTATCTCCTACCTGTCAATACACATCTACTACTCATCTAGACATCTACTACTCTTTTGTCTACAAAAAAACACCTTGCTACAATCAGAATGAAGACCCACATTGTCAATTATGGCTAGTTCAATTAGCCTTCTAACCGAACGAACTAGCTCACTACTAGGTTTGCCTTGCTCTCCATGCATTCTTGAACACCTTTCACGCCATACCAAACTCACAACAACATTCCATACCAACCTTCCAACCAAAGTCACTGCCTTCTTACCCTTAAACTGCTTAACTGCCTACTAACTCGAATTATTGATACTAACAGTTCTTGACAATGAACATATTTGAAACAGAACAACTAACTAAATAATTAATAATAGTTTGGTATAAAGAATGATATTCTTGATATATTTTACTACTAATGCATTTTAATTTACCAAGAAATTTCAATGAATGATTAGCAAATTTAACAAAAAATATGTTACCATGTATAGTTTGTTAGAAATGGAACTGAAGACTGGTTTGGATCTTGGAAGCTTGTTTGTTGAGGAAGAAGGTGGCGTGGCGCGAAGGTTTGAAATTGAAGATGAAGACCGTTGGCGGGTTAATAAAGAGTTGTTGTGCAGCTGTGTCATTTTAGTTAATTGTTGTTGAGTCATTTTTAGGATAGGTAATGTTGTGTCATTTTGGCCAGCTATTTGTCGAGTCTGTTAGAGTGAGTTTATGTGTCTTAGACTGCAAGCAACTAGTTGGTTAGTGAAGAGTTAGTTGCTATCTTTCAGGAGAGTGGGAGTCTGATTTGGTGGCTTGAATCTTTGTATTTAGTTATGTTTTTCATTCTAATAAAGTGCCAGATTGCACTATGAGAGTTTCACATTTGGTATTAGAGCTCCTGCAAGCTGTAACCACAAGCTATCAAGCAAAGGGCTTTCAAGCAAACTTGTGTGATTCTGAATGATTACTAAAAATTTGTAGTAGGGGTTGTGAAACACAAGAGAATTGGTTAAGGGTGTTTCAACACTGGAGAGAGATCACAGATTGTGACAGTACACAACAATCCAGAATCATGAGTGATGCAGGAGGATTTGCACAAGTGGGGCTTCCAAAATTTGATGGTGACTATGAACACTGGAGCATGCTGATGGAGAATCTCCTTCATTTCAAGGAGTACTAGAGTGTGGTGCAACAAGGGTTTCAGGATCCTGATGAAGTTGTGGAGTCTCTACTGGAGAATCTAAGAGCTTGGAATACATGAGGTTAAATGATCTTAAAGTTAAGAATTAACTGTTTAATTCCATTGATAAAGCTATTCTGAAAACTACCACTAAGAAGGCAACTACAAAAGAACTCTGGGATTTCATGAAAATGAAATGTCATAGAAGTGCTAGGGTGCATAAGGCACAATTGCAGGCTCTCAGTAGGACCTTTGAAGCGCTGGAAATGAAGGAGGGAGAGGCCAATGAGATGAGGAGTTGTGAAGAGGAGATTACAGATGGGAAGATTCTGAGGACACTCACAAAAAGGTTCAATTATGTGGTATGTTCTATTCAAGAGTCCAAAGACATTGAGCTGCTAACTGTGGATGCATTCTAAAGTTATTTGATGGCTCATGAACAAAAGTTCACCAAGAGAGGGCTTTCAGATGATGATCAAGCTCTTCGAACCACACATGAATATAGTGGTAGGGGAGGAAGAGGTTAGGGATGAGGCTTTTATCCCGGAAGAGGAAGAGAAAGAAGTGGAAGAGGTTGGAATAAGGATGTTGTTGAGTGTTTCAAATGCCATAAACTGGGACACTACAGAAATGAGTGCCCAGAATGGTATACCACTCATCAAGCACATTACTCCAACTATGTTCAGGACGGGACTTTTGGCGATTTGAAGGATGATATGCTGCTAATGGCATCTGTGGAAGATTCATGTGACAATGTAGACTGGTGGTTTCTTAATTCTGGATGCAATAATCATATGAATGGCAACAAGAAGTGGTTTGTTGAGCTTACTACTAACTCTACTTGTAATGCCAGGGTTGGTAACAACACTAGACTTGATATTGCAAGGAAAGGAACTGTGAAGCTTACTGTTAATCAACTTCCTATCACTATCTAGAAAATATTCTATGTACCAGCACTAAAATATAGTCTTCTAAGTATAGGTCAGTGGCAGGAGAAGGGGCTTGCTTTCCTGATCAAACATGGTGGTTGCAAAATATTTCATGAAGACCCTAAACCCTAAACCCTAAATCCTAAACCCTAAACCAAGGGTTTGGTGATCCAAACATAAATGAGACTAATATAATGTTGTGCTACATGCTACTGCAAGTCCTGCACTAGAAAAACAAGCATTCAATGCTTACAGACTTCAAATCTAGAAGAGTCAGCTCTGTCACTATGGCACAGGAAGTTTGGTCATCTCAACATACAAAGCCTGCAACTCCTAAAGAAGAAGGAACTAGTGGAAGGACTTCCATCACTGCTGGGAGATACTAATGGAATGTGTTCCACCTGCCTAGTTGGCAAGCAGACTAGGCAACCTTTCCTCAAGAAAAGTCACTGGAGAGCTTCTCAAAAATTGCAGTTGCTTTATGTTGATCTCCGTAGGCCTCTCACTCCAATGTAAAATGGAGGAAAAAGATACATCCTTACCTTAACTGATGATTATAGCAGAAAGTTGTGGGGTGTACTTCTTGTCAGTTAAGTCGGAAACACTCAGCATGTTTAAGAAATTTAAAGCTCAAGCGAAAACAGAAAGTGGGTTGGACATTATATGTTTGAGGGCTGATAGGAGGGTGAATTCATGTTGAATGAGTTCAAGGGTCTTTATGATGAAGCTGGTATCCAAAGACAACTCACTGCTGCCTTAACCCCTCAGCAGAATGGGGTGGCAGAGAGATCAAACCATAATGAATATGATGCGATGTATGATTCTAGACACCAAAGTTCTTTCTGCTTTTTGGCCTGAGGCAGTCGTGTGGGCAACCCATGTTCACAACAGAAGCCCCACAAATGGCTAATCAAGGCAACCTCCTCCCAAGAACTCTGGACAGGTAGTCCTCTCTCAATTTCCCATTTCAGAATCTTTGGATGTGTAGCTTATGTTCATGTTTTGTACCAAGAAAGAAAGATAAATTCAATGATAAGAGCAATCAATGCTACTTTCTTGGAATCTCTAGTGAATCTAACGCTTACAGGTTATACAATCTTGCTACAAAGAAGATTGTCACCAGCATGGATGTGATCTTTGATAAAAGCAAGGGCTGGACATGGGACTCAGGGATTCAACATGTTCTAACACAACTGATCTAGGATGGGTGTGATTATGTATGGGATGATTATGAATCTGATATGGAAACTGAGTAGGCAACACCAACCAGTCTGGCAGATGAACAACCTACCAATCCAAAAACACCTGCAGCTCATACTACAGAAGAAGATAGTGATGAAGAAGTTGATAACATCAATGCAAATGTGTTGTGATTTCCAAGTGGCGACCTAGGGCCAGGGTAAGAAAACCACCATCTCACTTGTCTATTTATGACTGTAGCTTTGCAGACACAGTGTGGATGGCTATGATGGCAGACTTAGGATATCCTCAAACATATATTTTGA